TCCTATTTTAGTAGTACCTGTCAATTAGTGTCACTTTAGTCAGGATGTAAAAGCAAAGAGACAGTACACTCAACACTAAGAAGCTACTGTACTTGTACTGTAAATGCCAATCCAGCCGCTAAAAAAAGAACTGTCCCTTTAAAGAGGTCTACAGGACTAACGTTTCCAGCACACTGGAAAAAAAGATGTTTGTCAGCACGTTAGTCACAGAGGCATAAGACTGTTATCCTGCCAGGATAGTCGTGACTAAAGAAAGGATCTTAAGTGCTTATGGCTGAGATTATAATGTCTGTGATCATTTGACTAATCATTAAGTAGCAATTAAGATTTCTATAGCTTTAATACGTGTTGTACATTCACATTTTTTACATACTCGTTTTTGTTTGTAGGTACTGGTGGGTCACATATGTTAAACAATCTAAGAAAACAATGTGTGTTTTGTTTGTATATAACAGGAAAAAAGCATGCGTGTGTGGAGTGTGTGTGTACATGCATACTCACTGTTTGCAGTTGCAGTTTCAGAGTGCCTGTCTCTTCCTGTGCTTTGGTCAGCTGGACCTGAATCGAAAGACAGAACAAAGGGGGGAAAGTTACACATATAAAACACACAAAAAATGACTTCCTGTCCATATCCTACTGATATACAGTATTGACAGAAACAGAGCATGTGAGCGGAGCAGAAGCAGGAGCACCATATATTATTCAAAGTGTGCAGTTCATTTACTGAGCCTTCACCATTTCGTTGCAGTGTTGGTCAAAATGCTACTGTCTACCACAAGTGCAGTTTTATCAAATTATTTATTTGTCCACTATGCAAAAGTATTGAGTGTGTTGACAAGGAGCAGCTGAGCATCACGCCTTTCCAGTGCCTTTAGCTATGAGAAAAGTGTCACTCAACAACCTGCATACTAAACTGGCCTGCAGCCAAGAGGAGTGTAAATAAATACTTTATATACAAATGTGTTAAAAACAACAAAACTTTGCTATGTGGAAGCCAAAGTAGGATATTATAAATGTGTGTGTATAAAAGTGTTGCATTTGTGCATGTGTGTAAGCACACGCACCTCCATTTCTGCATTGTGGTTCTGTGTCTTCTGCAGTACGTCCTCTGCCTCTCTGAGCCGTTTGCTGAGTTGAGGAGAGTACTCAGTAGGAGCCAGCTCGGTGTCGTAGGACTCTAGTATGGAACGCATTCCATCACGCTCCTGTAACACACGCACAAAAACATTAACATAACTCTACAAAATAAAAAATCCTGCCATGACCTTACAGAATTTTGTGCTATCTGATATGTAATGTGTGACAGGCATGAGAACGGATAAACTGAGAATATCAAAGCTCTGTGATCTTTTGTTCTGATTTGCCTATGTTACTTTTATATGACTGTTTGGTGTGATAATATGACAGGCAAATGTCTTTGTAAATGAGGAACAAAGTATGAGGCAGCTGCGCCTTTCTCATCCAAACTGTGCCAAGAGAGGCTTAGGGTTATGGTCGTGCTCATCTGAATTTCCCCTCATGTAATAATCAAATCAAAGAGAAATGTCTTCGTAGACAAAGGATAAAGAATAAATCAAAAAATTAAATCAGAGAGTCATGACAGAGAAATGTCTTTGCAAATGAAGCATATAATATTATGCTGCCTCATCTCTCTTATCTGAAATGTGATGAGATAATTTAAAAATTCTAATGAATTTTTTTCTCCTCTATAATACTGGAATGAAAGACATGTCCTCAACACTGTACTCTGTCCAGTAAATCAACACACCAAGCAGTAGCTTCTCTAAGAGAAGAGATGATAAAAACCTCTTCAAGTCAACGTCTTCTCAAGTGTCACTGAGATTGACACGCTGTCTCCAAATAACTCACAAGTCTGTCAGTGTGTGTCTGTATGCTTGACATTTGAGTGTGCATGTTCAATTTCACACACAAAAACATGCAAGTCTTGATATGGTTCCCAAAAAACACACAAAAATGTAAAGAAAACAAATTCAGCCATCTATAGGATGTATTATAGAGACTGTTAAATTGTGTATAAGTGGGGGTGACGGGGCAAGAAGAAAGTAACACAAACCAAACACCCTGTAACTGCATCTGAATCATTACACCTTCTGAACCAATGGTGCATTTCAGCCATTAAACTTTGAATAAAAAATAAACTACAACAATTTCCTCTCAAAACAAAGTTATGCTCTACTTTTCAATAAATGCTCAGTTGACCCAGGATGTTTGGAGAGAAAGTTAATGTATGTGTAGTCAATTAAACTGCAACAAGTAGACAAAGAAAGTGGAATATTACAAATTGTTTACCAATTCACAATTAGTCTTAGTGTTTAATATCTTACAAAGCAACAGTGTTATCAGCCACTGGTTAAGTGTTTGACACTAGAAAACACTATTTAGTAATCATTTAATTAAAATAAAAAATTCTAAACATTTTACCCGATACAACATTTTAGCTTGTAACAATAATACATTTTTAACTACATTTAATTTATGCGTTACACAGTAAATCTGTACTGGTTGCCAAGCAACATGATAAACGAGAACAATCTAAACGGTTTAAAACCTGGCAAACAGCCCGTTTATTAATGCAAATTCACTGTCAATCAACACTATTGAAATGATGCGTCTCCTCCCATCCCTTCACTACACTGGTCCGCTCTGCATTATGAAGCAGAGCAGGCGGCATTTTGTGGCAATCAGGCTTTTAATAAACATCTCACAAACAGCCAAGCTGTTTGGGACCAGCCTTGAATTTTGAGGGTCATTGAAAGCTCAATTGTCTATTATTAACGGGGCTAATTTAGGGAAATGTATGCAATTCAGGTTGAAGTCAGGTAATGAATACTGGCAGTAAATACCAGTTCGGATAACTGCATGTACGTACTATATGTTGATCACTGCTGTCTTATTAGAATGGCTTAAAAGCACCTTATAATTCTGTGAATAATGGGCTGCAATTGCCCTGTCAGATTAGCTCATAGGCTAGTATCTGAAAACAAACCATGATTACCCTAATCAGATTCAGACTGATTAGCCAGATCAAAACCAACATAATCCATTTAAAGATGACTGAGTCTGGTTCATTTAAAAACACTATATGTGAAATCATCCTTAATTCAACTTTATTTGATTTGTCACCGAAGCGGAGTCATTTGTCATGCAATGTTACACAATTGCCTAATACATCTTGTGAGAAACTTGGAAAAGAGAGAAGAGGAAGACCAACAGCAGGACAGACTGAACAGAAGTAAATACAAAAACGTACAAACACATTTAGAGGTCAGTGTGTATGTGTTTGTTGCCGATCCAAACCAGTGGGCCCTTTGGCTATTTACTGTCTATTAACGTGCAATGAAAGTCACTCAATCTAAATCAAAAATCTGTCGGCTTTTCTCTGATAAAAACTCTCATTTTAAAAAACACACAAACAAACAGTGAGCGGGAGGACAGAGTGATAAAACATTACTGTTTTCATCATCTATTTTTTAAAAATTGCTTTTATGTCAACTGTTTTATCTCGTGCGTGAAGATGTGACTGCGCCTCTAATGGGTCAGCGAGTCTGCCCCACAAAACTATATGAGAAACAAAACATCAGGGCAACAGTAGTATAAAGGAGACATAGCCTTGTGGCAGAGAGGGAAGGATGACATTTGTTTTCCTCTCCACTTCCTTAACAACAGCTGTCAAGGTGCAGCTGAGCAAGGCACTTAATCATCATTGATTTGTGAGCCAGTATGTGGCCACAGTCATTCCCACAGGTGGAGGGGGGAACTGGGGATTTGGATAGAGCTCAAACGATTTGTTGATTAATCGATTTGCTGACAATACATATCGAACTCACAACGATTTTGTTAGGGTAGGATAGGCGATATATTAAATGAATTGTGTTTTTTGTTAATGCACAATGTATAAAACGTCTACATCTTGTACAAAAAGGTTACTTTTACTGGGACTGTAACGATAATGACAGCTGGCTACATTAAGTATCCTATATTATAACAATAAATAATAAAAAAAACAGCTTTGCCATATCTATTAGATTAATATGATGTAGTTTTCTTGGAATTATACAAAATGACTGAAAGAAAAATGATAAATAAAAGACTAAATATAATGGGGCAGTTGTAGCTATGGTTGGGTGAGAGACATTTATATACTCAACTATAGTTGTTAAGCTTAATATAACTTTATGAATGCAGCAAACCATCCCTGAATAAATAAAAAGGGCCAACTGCAATGGATATTTATTTAAATACAACGTGACTGGATGCTAAACAACAATTATTCACAACCTCTGAATGCTTGGTAAAGTGCAAATGGTTGAACGCGGTCTCTGCCAAAACAATCTTGGGTCCAGCCATATTTTCAGCATGCCTGTAGCCCTGCTTAGTTATGGCAGTGGGCAAG